ATTTATAAAATATTATACAAGTTATTGTGGGTTTTGGTACTTCCAATATAATTATACAATACATATACATTCTTAACACTACATGAACGAATACTAATTTTATGATAATTGAAATCAGTGGGGCTTATAAACCAGCTTGGGTACTTTACCTACTGAAAATTCTAAATTAATTATAGTTAGAGGATTTACATTAATTTTAACATGAACTTTGATTAGAAATTCTTGTTTAACATAGCCTTCAACGTAAACAGTATCAATGTCTTTTAAATTGTCCTGAAGCACTTGATTAAGTTCTCCATAGTCTACACAGCCTGTATTGTATGGAACACCATGAATATTGTGGGATACATAGTTGAGTTCTTTCTTCTGGGCTTCATTCAACTCACGATGTCGAATTTTTGGTTCAAATACGGAACTTCTAAGCAGTTTCCCATCACAAAAAGCCAATTCTTTAACTTGAAAATCAGTAGAAAAGTGACATTGACCGTTCAAAAGCACAAACTCAATCCTTTTCTGCGAATGCTTGATAGTCACTGGCTACATCAATGTTCTAACGTTACCTGATAAAGGTAAGTATTCAAACACCCGATCATGTACGATTATACAACAGGCTCGTGTATCTTCCGAAAAATTCTCTGAGCTTTGGAACTCTAATTTGACATCAGTCGTGTTGCTTTTGAGGGATTCGTTCTGTTTTGAGCAGTCTATAACAAATAATGCCCTGTTGGCAAAATTGGGAAGGTCCAGCAATGGTTCACTATTGGTTTTACCCAAATACGTGTTTTGAAATTCGGTATACATCCGGTATGCTTCTGCAAACTGTTTGTCATCGAAATTAAGATTCAGTTATTCATACGGATAAACTTCAGAGTTTAGATACAGCTTGACATCTGTAATGTCTAAATTATCGAAAAGAGTAATATCATACCGAGGATTATCTTATCGGTTTTTCTGGAAAAACACTATGATATATCTGGCTCTCTCGGACATTGATTTCACAGTCCACACGTCTCGCTTGGATTTTCTCAATGTAGGTAACTCATGAATCTCCCAACTTCTGAATGGAATAAATATGGGTTTGTTGTTCGAAATATCTTCCAATAATTTCAATTTTAAAACATCGTTTGGATAAATGTGCCTCACCCTCAATTCTACTGTGTCTAAAGTAATTTTTGCTGTTTTATCTCCAGTCGTATTGATGTAACAGTTATCATCATTTCTAGCTCTGACAAGTTTTATTTTCTGTCTTCCCATAATAGCCTTATTGTAATCGGAAAAGATATTTAGTAAAATCTTCAAGGGTATCAGGAAATTAAATTTGTTCCCCGCTAAAGATTTCACTTCACCCTTAGGCCAATTCCATCCAGCTCGATCGAGTGCTCTACTCTCTTGATCGTTGAGACATAAAATATTCCTCACTGTGCTAGTAAGCCCCGGATCTCGAATTTTATCAATTTCTTTGCCATTTAATTCATAAGTGATAGATTCAAATAGGAAAGCACCTGCATTAATTGTTAGATTACATTTTCCTGTCTTTCCAGCGGTAACGTCTTCATTAAACTTTCCTTCAATGTAGACTTCGGCTTGGCTGATATCTATAAATGCATCTTGTTGATTGATAACAATTTCTATTTCATCACTATAGTTGAAAGAATTGGTGAAAGGATGGTAAGTATGCCATTCCTCTCTCGCTACGGACTCATCGGTGTTGACCGACTGAAATATTTGCAGTTTTCCTGATACGATATCCATATTGGGAAGCCAGAGATCTCAACCCAATCAAACTTTTATGTGTGAGCGTTTGCTTTGACGGTTGACTGCAGACTGAGCTCGAGTTATTAACACCACTGTTTAAATAGTCACCAGTTTTATTAAAAACCAGGACCATATTTCTTAAGCTCTAATCTCACTATGATCTCCTCTCCTCGGAAATTAACTGGCCGTCCTTCTTGATCAAGTATATTAATTGTTATATTATCTATACTGTCCCTATTGATAGGTAGATATATCAAGTTTCGAGGATCTATTATAATTCGGTATCCAGGATCTACAGCTGGAGTAAATTCGTATAACGTATGTGAAGGATTACTATTGAAGTAGGAACCAGAGATGATGTTGCACTCTATCCGTATACTAGCCACCGATATTATCTCAACTGGCAGATCGGATTCGTGTAGATAATTCTTTTCCAGAGATTTTTCTGAAAATCCCAAAAGTTTTCCTATACTATCCTCAGGCTTGAAATTAATATCATATATAGCCTTTAGTTCACACTTCAATGTATTGTTGTTTGGTTTAAGAGAAATATTTTCTGTTGTAGTCGTACTTAATTGTTTTTGTAGATAGGCTTCAATATCGGTAACCTCGTACGACCCGGTTGGGATTTCTATTATTTGTTGTTTTCCTGTAACGCTATAGTAGAACTTGTTTCGACCTGGTTCAATGTTGGGAATGGAATTCCACGTACTGAGTGAGATGAGAGCTAATGAATAGTTATAACTAGAATCAAGCTTGATGGGTGGTGTAATATCAACACTCAAGCGACATGTTCGACCTTTCAACGTGAATGTCTGAGACATGACTGAAATAAAATCAAAACACAATTACTTTATATAGATTTATTAAACAAAAAACCAAGTACAAGATGTCCACAATTGTAGGAGTTATATGACTGATACTGATCATAGTTGAAAAGTATCTTACAATTTTTAAAATAACGAACGAGTTCTTTTGGTGGATTTAGGTTCCCAAAACTATCAAAGTAAACAACAGTGTTTTCCTTTTTCTTATAAGCTACCCAATGTGATCCCGATCCCATATTCGTATCCAAATTAAGAACCCCGCATTCGGTTTTCTTTGAAGACGATGGTAAGGTATCTCGCATAAACACGCCTCTAAAATTGAAAATTTTAAGTTTTTTAACGTATCGCTTGATATCTTGATCACTTAGTGGACGATCGGGTAGCTTTATTGGAAGTTTTTTGACATCTTTTTCAGGTAAAGTCCATATCCGGTCTTGTGTTTACTAAGATATAATCCACTCCCTTTTTTTCCTAACGCAATAGCTTCCATCATTTCGTTGTGTCGTTTGGACTCGACAAGTTTATCTTTCGCAGAACGAGCGTCATTCACTGCTTTTGCCACCCCTGCCGCGCCCCCACTTAAAGCGCCCAGCGCGCTAAGTCCGGCAAACAGAGGTATAAGAGGAATAATTCCACCTACTTTTGGTACTGGGATAACTCGTGGAACTCGAATCTTTTTGGGTCCACCAGCTTCTTTGATTGTCTTACGAGCTGCTTGAAGCGCCGATTTAATAAAGTCTTTTATTCCTCTACCACGATGCTTTAATTGCTTTCTAATATTAGCCACAACAGGATTTGAATGGTTTCAAACTTTTCGATCGAGCTATGCTGAGTTTACGTTTAGTTTTCTTCTAACCGAAATTGCGAAATCCTATTCTTTCACCCGTTCCCACGATATATTTTTTAGCACTTTATCTGGCCGATGTCTGTGTTGTAGATCTGTGAATTTCAAAAGAAAGCTTGTTGATGTAGCTATTTAAAGGACCTACACTCGATGGTGTATTCATTAAGAATGAAACAGAGGTAGAGTGAACATTGTTTATATACGATGCGGAAGATGAAGCAGAAAATCAACATAAAGATCGATAACTTTGACATTAATAAGTCCACTAGTGTTAGAAAGAGACATGGAGAACTTTTACCAAACACAATTAGAGCAATAATATGCGGGCCAAGTAATTCAGGGAAAACAAATGTTATGCTTAGTATGTTAACCGATAAGAATGGACTTAGATTCCGAAATGTATATGTATATTCCAAGTCATTGGACCAAGAGAAGTATAAGTTTCTGAAAGAGGTGCTCAACCGTGTTGCTGGTATAAACTTTTATGGATACAGTGATAATGAAACCGTTTTAGATCCGCAAACAGCTAAGTCAGATTCGGTGTTTATATTCGATGATGTGGCTTGTGAGAAGCAAGACAAGATAAGAAACTATTTTTGTATGGGCCGCCATAATGCTATTGACTGTTTTTATCTTTATCAGACGTATTCAAAAATACCTAAGCAATTGATTCGTGATAATGGAAATATGATTATAGTATTTAAGCAGGATGACACGAACCTGAAACATGTGTACGACGATCACGTTAACACAGATATGTCTTTAAATACGTTTAAAACTATTTGTTCTGAATGTTGGAAAGATAAATATGGTTTCTTAGTCATTGTTAAAGATGATGATATCACGAGCGGTGGATATCGAAGTCAGTTCAACACCTATATATCTCCATAGAAGACAAATTCTCCTCAGTATCCCTTAAGACGTCGCTGTGTACAGACCCCTGCTATAGCTGTACCATAGCTGTCTCTGAACTAGTGTAGCTGTCTAAAAGCTGTCTCCTACCCTGCATAGCTGTCTAAAAGCTGTCTCTAGACCTGTATAGCTGCCTAAAAAAGCTGTCTTCTGACCTGTATAGCTGTCTAAAAAGCTGTCTCCGGACCTGTATAGCTGCCTAAAAAGCTGTCTGCTGACCTGTAAAGCTGTCTCTAGACCTGTATAGCGGTATACGGACCTGTATATAGCTGTATACAGACCTGTCTCCGGACCTGTATAGCTGTCTAAAAAGCTGTCTGCTGACCTGTAAAGCTATCTCTAGACCTGTATAGCGGTATACGGACCTGTATATAGCTGTATACAGACCTGTCTCCGGACCTGTATAGCTGTCAAAAAGCTGTCTGCTGACCTGCACAGCTGTCTCTAGACCTGTATAGCTGTCTAAAAAGCTGTCTGCTGACCTGTAAAGCTGTCTATATACCTCTATAGCGGTATACGGACCTGCATATAGCTGTATACAGACCTGTCTCCTGATCTGTGTAGCAGTATAAAAGACAGTGTAAAACCTGGTTGGAAATCATAGCTTCGGTTCCAAGCGAAAATGATAGGAATATCAAGCAGAAAATACTGAACGCTGCTAGATCTATAAGAAAAAAGTATTTGGCTTTAAAGCTGGAGAGAAAAGAGGAAGATGAGGCACTTGATAGGATAATAAACCCTATAACTGAACCTCTAAGAGAGTTTGTTGAGAAAACGGTTGGCAGAAAAGTCCAAGTTAAACATGAAAAAGTTAAGCTCGAAGCTCCTAAAACGTATTTTGAATCTGAACCGAAACTTCCTAGAAATGTAGAGTTCCAACCAGCAGAGATTATTGCTCAAACGAGTGAGAATTTAGAAAGTGATGATGATGATGATGATGATGATGGCGCTGAGGATGTCTTTTATGAACCCTTACAACATTTGAAAGAAGATCTGCAGAAATCAATTCACGATAGATCAGGAGCGTATGAAGAATTTTTAGATCAGTATCCCAAAGTAGCACAAGAGTATGTAGATAGATACTATAAACAATCAGATGAAATAGACCATTCTTATGGCTTGAAACATGATATGAAAACCGATGATTGGTCTATGGGATCAAAAAAAGTCAACTTTCTCCCGAATAGAGATATTAAAGTCGGGGCTGTATCTTATAAAGGAACGCAGGGCTTATATGATCTTTTATTTCTGAAAAAGCCGATCTATCAGACAGAGGATGATAAGTTGCAGTTTACGGATATTCTAAACAGGACCAATGTTCATCGAAGAGATTTTGATCCATCCAAACAAGTTAAAGGGTCCACATCTTCAAAATATAGACAGTTTGTTAAACCTTTGGTCTCATCATCATCTGAAGCAAAAAGGCTTAAATCAAGTAACAGTGCCTCGCCATCTGGCTGAAATCCATCTACAAGATCTCAAAATAAATCCGGAAGTGCTTTATTATTAGAATATAATGAGAAACGAAAACAATATGTTTATTACGATGATGTCAACGAATTAATTGATAGACTTCTTAAATTGGATGCATCACAAAAAGCTGGAAATACCAATAATATCAATGAGATTATGAGTATTTTAGAAGAACTGGCTGAATTGGGTGTGATTGAGTTTAATAAATAGTTCTACATGTGTTATCTTGAATCATTATAGGGTTAGCCACTTTCAAGTTTAGATCTCTTAACATTTATGTACTGTGAGTCACAACGAAAAAAAAATGAAAACTATTATAAAGGCTAGGGAACGGGTGGTTGAAGAACTACATAAGCCAGCACGTAAAAAGTTTAATCGTAGAAGATTTATACAGTATGGTCTGGATGATACTTTTGCCACCGACTTGGCTCAGCTTGATCAGTATGCTCGAGAAAACAAGGGATTCAAGTACATATTGGTTGTTATCGATTATTTTTCTAAATTTCTGTGGACTAGAGCTGTAAAATCGAAATCAGCGCAAGATGTCGCTAAAGCTATGGAGAGCATTTTGAAAATTTCCGGAAGAATACCCAAGAAACTTATTTCGGATAATGGAAAGGAATACTATGTAACGATTTTTTTTAATCAGTTCTCATTTTCCCTACTTTGGTGATTTTACGTCCCCAAAATAATGATTGGTTATGGATAGATTTTAGAATAGGTTTTCCAAGTAATTATAGATTAAGAATAATTGCCCTTGTTTGTTCCTACAGCCCTCATAATTATTAAATTACGGCTGGAATGTTTAAAAATTAAATTTGTGCCTATATTTTTAAAAGTATAAATACGATTTTTAAATATTGCTAATTTGAATATCGACAACGACGTCGCGAAACACGGTAAATGGTAAAAAAAAAAGGAAACTTTATCCGCATTCCTACGCTGTAGGCTGGTTCAAGTTGTAGCGTTATTTCAGTTTTCCTTGCACTGTTCGGGGTGCTACTGACTTTCGGTTATTTATCGGTCGGTTATCTCGGGCGCCACCCTCGGCTTTTAGAGTGGTCGAGGGCCCACTTGCTCCAGGTAGTATCTCAGTGGAGACGGAAAACCAAAGTTCATTGACCATTTAAAAAAAAATAAAACAAACATTCCGGGAAAACAACAGATATTTTATTCTGAATCAAGCGTTGAACAAGAAAATAAATACCCTATCTCGAATATAATACACGGCAACCTGAGAGAGAGGATGTGAACGAAGTATGTGTGTATGTTTTGTGTGAGAGAGAGAGATAAAGAGATTTTCGGGACGGAAATACGGTAAGCTCAAGGTAACCCTGCATCCAGAAATTTAGAGTACTCGGAATAACGGAAAATAAACAACTTGTTCGTCCTCGCTTCCAGCTCGTACGGTTCAGGCCTTAGGCCGCATGCGCGATCTGTTTGATTCGGTAAGCGTGCGGGTCTTTGTAGACGCAGAGAAGGATCGGAAGTATCCAGACAAGCACAAGCAGCGCCCCCGTAACGGAGCCCAGACAGGACGCGACTTGTGTCCGTCAGCACAGAACGAGTAGTATCACCCCGTAACGAATCCCAGACAAGTGTACTAAACGTGCCATGTGATACCCCGAGCCAAATAAGGATGAGCACAAAGGACACCCCGTAACGAAGCCCAGACAGATGCCCCCCGTACTCATCATTATAGATCGAATCAGCCCTACCCTGGAACGAAACCCAGACAGCAGCACAGCTCGATCCATAGTATTGACCCGCAAACGAACCTATACCTACATTGTACGGTGCAGTGATGACGTCGGCGTCGTGGCGAGCTGAAAGCGGCGGCGGCGGCGACGGTTTCTACGGTGAAGGCTTACCTTGGCTGCTGCTCGGTCTGCTGGCTGGTGCTGGCTGGTCGGTCGGTAGCGGTGGACGGAATCCCAATTCCTCGGCGCGCTTCGCAATTTATGGGCCCGGCGCCGCATGGCTTTCGCGGTGGGGAAGGCTGCCTGACCGACTGGCTACGGCGTTCCCCGACGAAGCGATGTGGGTTCGGGCGCTCGGTAGTACTGGCTTTTACGCCTGATTCGAGGTCACGCGTAAAGATATATTAATAATTAAAATAGAGACTAATTAAAGCCATATTACCTCTCCAGAACAGAGAAAAAATATGTAACCTTCGTTACACACCCCCTCCTCTTTAAAAAAAATATTTACTTGAAAATATTTTATATATACCTATATACCTGTTTCTCAGCAATAGTAAATATTACCGAAATGAGTCCCTAAAACACAGTCGGTGATAAAAAACAAGTTCTCCTAAAAATCAAAACAAAAAATAATATCTTACCCTAAAAAGAAAAAAAAATAAAGAGTGAAACTACATTGAAAAATAAACAAATAATAGCTTCTTCTTGGAAGGCCATCCTGTCCCCCCCCATGACGTTCGCTTGGTTCGAGCCTCACTTCGAGCGGTATCGGTGTGCGGTAAGCGGTTATTCATGTGACGGACGGCCGTATGGACACCCACACGTGCGGCAGGGCCGGTATTTCAACTCGTGACTGTCACATTGTACGGCCACGGATACTTTATTGCGACGGCGGGACGCAGTTGAGGTTACGGTGAGTGTTCCAGATTGAGAGGGTTGAACGACCTTGGAGCGGATTGGACCACAGGAACACTCTTTTGATAGATAACCCACCCGGCCGCATCTAGAACAAAACATCACCGGTTTGTTGGTGCAAGCCTCCCGGCGGTGTCCGGGATAGCCACATCGCCAACATACATTTTTCTCCACTGGGAGGTAAACATCGTCACAGGCATGTCGACGGGTACCCACCACCGGGTTCGGAGCGGGTGATAGTGGGGTCGCAGCACCCAAAGATTCTGACGCGGTGCTGGTATGGGTGGTTGATCGGGCATTGATCATTACATCCTTTTCGGTTGTTTTGCTCTTGTTTTCCTCCTTATTCTGGGCGGGCAATCCCTCATTTAGAGCCTCTTCAAGTGCCTCGGTGAAATCGGTGTCGGTTAACTGTAATACGGGGCTTGACATCTGAAAATTTTGCAAATAATTACTACCTGTCGTCGCACGTATCCTTCATAGTTTATTAAGATTAATTGGGGTAGGGGTGAGTACACGGAACGGATGCAGTCGGTTAACCCCAAGTAAAAAAATATATATTTTCCCAAGATAATACAAAATAAATAACAATTCAGTCTTAATCGGTCGGTATCACAGATAGAAATAAAAAAGTCAATTCTTCAGTCAAAAATAAAAATAAATCAGCCTTCTATCGGTCGGTATGCGGTACATGACGGTATGCTTTTACAAGCCTCCCGGAATAGTGAAGTGGATATATTTTTTGGTATTGGTGCGCAGGCGCAGACGGTAGCCCTTGTATACAGGGTGGCCTGGGGGACGGTACTTCCTCAGGGCATCCCGATATGCCGGGGTCCATTTGAAGGCATCTGGCTCTTGCCTAGCCATATCCCCGATATCTGTTTCCCGTGGTTGGAAAACTACGACCGCCCATTTAAGCGGCGATTTGGGTCGTGACGTGGCCCATGGCGGAAGAGGCAACGACATTACAGGGCGGGCGGTTGGAGTATTTTGTTTAGAGGTCCACCAGAAGTGCAATTCGGGCCGTAGGAAGGCGAAGTTAGTCTTTACGCTCTGGAGCCCAAACGTGGGTAACGTGCCGGGTTCGGTTCCACTTCTGGCCGATGTACCGGCGCCGGTGGTATTTGGATACGGGTTTGTTGGAGCCGGTCTTTGGGGAACTTCGTCTTGCTGTCGCACGCAGCCAGTGGGAGGTCGCGTTGGGGGTTGCTGGGTTCGGCGGGGAAAGTTAACCTCTGGAGCAGTCGTTTGCGTAGCGGTGGGAATTCTGGGGGCGGTTGAAGCGGAAAATATATGCCCCCGCGGAGGTGGACCGGCAAATCTAGCCTGGTAGGTTCGGACAGCCTGTCGTACGCGCTGTAGTCGCGCGTTGGCCTTTCGGGCTTTTTGCTGGCCGTCTTGTCGGGGATTGTACAGGTCGGCCGGATTTGGTTTGAGTTTCTTTGGTGGGTCCATCTTTTTTTAACGGTGTTTCGGTCGGATCTGAAAAAGAGAAAACCTGGTTAAGTATAGGCAGGCTTAAGGTCTTTGATGTGAATGCGTCTGCGCTTTGCACCCGTATCATCCTTTAAGTCATATACTACCGGTGATATGACTTTGGTTACCGTGTAGGGCCCGGAATATTTCGGCGCTAATTTGGCCGCAAACCCTTTTATGGCTGAGGACAGGGGATTCTCTCTTTTCATTACTTTGTCACCAACGTGACATCGCCAGTCGCGGCGGCGTAAGTTATAGTGGTTGCTTTGAACGGTAAAAGCTCGGCCTAAATTCACCCTGACTAGTTCGTAGATTTCTTGAAGTTTGTCGCGCCGATATGTCTCGCATCATTCCCGGCCAATAGTATTTACGGCAGATTCGCGATGTGGTTTTTGCAATTCCTCGATGTCCGGCCAGCGGTGAATCATGGTTTTCTTGAAGAATCGCTAATCGGGCACTCTTCGGTGCGCAAAGTTTCCATGGATCAGACATTTCGGCTTCGGTCAAGTCGGAAAGATCCCAAAAGTGTCGGTACAGCTGCCCATCTCTCAGGCAAAAGTCTGGGAAAGCTGTGGGATTACTGTCCACCGCGGCCTTTTTGGCAGTATACCAGGCGCACGGTTCAAACTCCTCTAAACTTAAAATCGGTTCTGGTTCATTATGTTCTTCGGTATCGACGGGGTCTCGTGACAGCGCATCAGCGACTTTGTTTAGAACCCCTTTGCGGTATCTTATCTCGAAATCGAATTGTTGCAGGTAAACACTCCAACGAGCTAACCTACCGGACGGGCTCTTCATGGAATGTAACCATCTTAAACTCTGGTGGTCGGTCACTACGGTGAATCGGTAGCCTTCTAAATATGGCCGC